CGCGATATGCGTATAAAAATGTATTATTTAAAGTAAATAATATAAAACAGTCTAAATATTATAAATAAAAAATATTTTAATATTTTTAATAATCCGAAGTATTCTGGTTTTTGTAGTTATTATCGAAATAACAAATATTATTATTTTTATAATTATACTGTTTATTACTATATTTATTATTATAATATTTTTAAATACTGTAGAATTAATTATATATTTTATTAAATTAATTATATTAGAAATATCTATTATAAAAACTGCTGTTATTATTACTGTTAGTATTATTATAATAAACTTTCTAAAATTTTTTATAATTTATAATTATTTTAATAATTATAATTATAAATACAGTAGTAATTATATTTTTAATTTTAATTATAATAATTTTTATAATTTTTTTTATAGTTACAGTTACAGTTACAGTCTCTTCCGCGATTTTAATAATTATTTTTATTATTATAATAATTATTATATTTACTGTTATATTTATTATATTAATTATTTTAATAATTATTTAATTTATATAAATCTATTCGGTTTCTGCAGTACTAGATTTTATTTTAATTATTTAAATTATAATCGGATTGATTATATAAACAGTTATATTAATTATAGTTTTAAGAAAAGTAAATATTATAAATATAATTTTAAATTCTATTTTTTATATTTGAATTTTATTTATTTTTTAAAATTATAAAGCAGATATTTATCTTATTATTAAATTTCTTTAAAATAATATCTTATTTTAATTTTTTAATATATTTACAGAGTTTCGGATCGATATGGCATTATATTCTAATTATTATATTTTATTTATTTATTATATTATATATTCTTACTAAACTAAAAATCTTTATTATATAAATAGTTAGAAATCGATTATAGCAAATATCTCAGATTATATATTAATAGTTATTAAATTATTTTTAAAGTTGATTATTAAAGATTTTCTAATATTCTTTAATAGCAGTTATTTAATAGTTAATATTTCTAAAATTAATAAGACTAATTTAGTATATTTTATTAATCTGCTGAATCTACTATATATTTATATTACTATAAAAAATATTTATATTTTAATTTATAGTTATTATATTTTTAAATAATAATATAATTTTAAAATATATATAGAAGACTCGAGCGGTCCGGTAGTAGATTTTTCTATTATATTTAATTAGATTTTTATATTTCTAATTAGAAGATATATTAAAATAAAAATATTTAATATTCGAAGCTTACTATTATATATTATTTATTATTTAAAATCTGTTTTAATATTAAAGGGCCGGCTCATCGGCAGAAGAGGATAGGAAAATTAGAAATATTAGATTATTATTATAAAATTTATTTTATTTATATTATTTTTATTTTTTATATTTCTAATATTTTTGTTCGTAAATATTAAGAATAGTTATTATTATTTAAATAAATAACTATATAAATTCTATTTTTTAAATGTCTGTTATTACTTCATCTATTATTTAAGGATTTATATAGAACTGTTTTTATATAAATTAATAATATAAATAGAATTATTTTTAAAATGATTTCAAATGTAAATTATTTTATATCTGAGTAGTATCAGTACGGTAGATATTATTTCGATTACTAAATAAAAAATAAATAAATTTATAAATAAATTAATTAAAACTTCTGTTAGAAATAATATAAAGAAATCGATTTTTTTATTTTATTTAGTACTTAAACTGACTGTATTAGTATCGGAAAGTCGATAAATAATTCTAATATAAATTTAAATATTAAAAAGAATAAGTAGACTATTAAAGAAGATTTAAAAGTTAATTTTAATAATATTAATATTAATAAAGATTTAAAAACTACTTTAACTAATATTATTAGTAATATAAAAATAAAAAAAATACTAATATAAAAAACTATATTAGTTTCTGCTTCTTTAAATATTATTAATAAAAAGAGAAATACTTATAAAGATGCTGAGATTAGTAAATATAAAAAAATATAATAATCAGTTTAAATTTATAAATTATTATTTTAAATAATTTTTTATTTATTTATTTAATAGAATAGTTATATTTGTTTTCGCCAGTTTTATCTCAGCCACTTTAAATTCTTCAAATATTTATAATCTAAAATAGTATTTAAAAAATAACTATTTTTGCGGCAGTTAGAACGTTAGTAGAAATATTTATAATATTTCTATAGTTAATTTTTAAAAAATAAAATATTTTATAAATAGTCTGAATAATATTCTTCGGATATATAAATATATATACTGTTCGGAAGTATATAAATAGATTTATATATAATACTTTTAATAATTATATAATAGTAGGATTGTTAAAGGATTTCAAATAGTTATATAATCTATTATAATTTTATATTAATAAAAAATCTATATATATAGTTGTTACTAAGAGTTTAGTCGAGCTTTATAAATAAAAAATAAAATATATAAAATTTATAGATAGAAAATTAATAAAATTAGTAAGAAATATAATAAATAAAAAATAGATAAAATAGAATAAGCGAAAATATTTAAAGAAAATTAGAAAAGAATATATCAGTAACACCGTAAATATTTTATCAGATAAAATATCAGTTTTAAATAAATAAACTAATTTAAAAATATTTTTATTATTAGTTTTATTCGATTAATTGATTTTTAGATAGACCGAGAATTGTAGCAGAACGTACTATTGATATTATTTTTTAAGATTTTAAAAAAACTAAAATTTTATAAATAGATATTTAATTTCTTATTTCTAGCTATTTCGATAGTCTATATATATTGTCTTTCCGAAGGCGGTGGGAGGAGGCAGTACAATACTACATATATCGAAAAGTTGAAGGCAACATTAATAATTTAATAAAAAATATTAATAAACTAATTAATAAAACAGAATATCTAAATATTAAACTAATTAAACATCTGAAAAAAAACTGATTTATTATTATTTAACTAAGATTTTAAAAAAATTAGACTTGTTTTTTAAACAGTTTAAATAATAATTAATTATAATAATAAAAATAAAATATTCTATATTAATTAAAATTAGTTTTTATCTTTATCTATTAACTAAAGAGTAATAAAAAATTATGTATATAATAATTAGTTTACTTAGATTTTTATAAATAGAATTAACTAATAAAAAGCTTTAAAAATATAAACTATTTATTTAGATAGTATAACTAATAAAGCCGAAGTATTATTATTAAAATAGATCTAATTATATAGATTTAATAAATTAATTATCTGATTAGATTTAAAGTTTAATTATATATTTAGAATAATCTATAGAAATTTAATTATATGAAAATATATATTAGTATACTTACAGCTGGATTTATAAAAAAATTTTCAATTTTAATTCTTATATTTAATTTTAAAAACTAATTAATTAAATACTGTTACTGTTTTTTATAGTTTTATTGAGAAGAAGATATATACAAATCTAATTTTTAGATTAGTATAACTATTATTTCTATTATTATTATAGTTGCAGTATTTTCAAATATTTAAAATCTATCATATATTTAGTTAAACTGATTATAATAAAAATCTTTATTATATTAATGATTAATCTTACTATTATTGATATATCTATCAAAAGAAATATTATAAATTTATATTTGATTTTATAAAAGATAATAAATAATAAATGAACAAATTATATTTTCTACATATATTTATATATATAATACAGAAATATTAGTAAATATTTATATAATAATATAAATTATTATTTATTTCATAACTAACTACTAAAAATTGAAAACAAGATTTTTAAATAATTTTATAATTTATAATAAAATTAATTATAGTAAAAATCTTATATATAATTCTAAGAATCACTGATACCTAATTATTAGATCCTATATATTAATATAATTTTATAAAAAATAACAGAAATAATAAGAATTAAGGTAAAAAAAGATAATAATAAATAAATAATAAATAAAAAATTAGTAAAAATTAATAATTAAAAAAGTTAAAAAAGAGCTGGTCGGTAGCACTGTAAATATTTTATTTTATAAAATATTAGTTTTAAATAAATCAATAGTTTTGAAAATATTTTTATTCATAATTCTAATTGATATTAGACTTTTTAATAAAATAAGAATTATTAACAAAATATATTATTATATATGAACTATAACAGTAGTTGCTAATAGGAAAAAATCAATATGATTATAAATATATAATTAATTTCTTTTAATTATATATATTATATATATAAGAATCTTACTAGAAGCGGGAGATAGACAGTTGCTAACAGAAGCAAGAACAACAGTTGCTGATAGTAGAATATCTGTTTGGAATTATAGCTAATATGAAAAATCTAATAATAAAAATAATAAGCTATTAGTAATAGAAAAAGTTTCCAACTATAAACTATTATGTAAATATAAAGATTATGATAATATACTATATTCTATTAATAATTAAAAAGAAAAAATTAGAATTATAAAAAATTTACTTAAATATAAAATAATAATAGTTTATTGATTTTAAAGCTAATTCGTACTCTTCCAAAGATCTTGTAAGATCCTAAAAAATAAAATATAAAGGATTTAAAAGTTATTAACATTATAATTCTTATATAGAGAATACATCAATAGATTATTGCTATTCCGACATGCTTTCGCAGATTATCCATAATATTCTTAGGATTATTTCTTTAAAAAAATAAAATTATAGAGCTTTATAGAAGAACATATTAGTAAATATAGTTTAAGATTGCTGAATCATATAATACAAAACATATAAAATACTATATAGCTATGAATAGTTTCTTCCTATTATCAATTTAATAAGATTTATACAACTTCGATTCTTCTGCCCAGAGTGTAAATCTACTAACCCAACTACTCGCACCGGAGTTGGCTTGTGAGCTTAGTGAGCATGCTTAGCTAACGGACCGGTGCAGGCGTTCTCCGCAAAATACGTAGATTTTCTTCCAACTATTCTCGACTGAAGCAAGTGTGCAAATAATATATACTATTATCTCGAAACCATCATGTTCTCTCGCGTCCTACCTCCCTCGGTGGGTCCCCACAAAGCTCTGACTCTATTATATCACCAAGCTCACAGAATGATCGCATCTTCAGGCATCCCGGCTTCTCTACCGGCCGTCTTCAATCCAACCTCGCTCGCCAGGCTCACCTTTGTCATTCATTCTCAATGCCCGTCTGTTGTCATCTGAAACTCGGACAGCGATTGATAAGGCTGTCGCGTCTGCCCCTGTTGTTCTCTTTATGAAGGGTACTCCGGAGACTCCTCAGTGCGGGTTTTCCCGGGCCAGCATACAAATCCTGGGATTGCAAGGCGTTGATCCCAAGAAGTTCGTTGCCTTTAATGTTTTAGAGGACCCAGAGTTGCGTCAGGGTATGTTCTGAAGACTGGCTAGGTAGTTGCCTGCCCAATTAGCAAGTGCAGACAGCTAATTTTCATCACAATTTCAACTTTGCAGGTATCAAGGAATATTCCGATTGGCCCACGATCCCCCAATTATACCTCGAAAAGGAATTCATTGGTGGCTGCGATATTCTGATGTCGATGCATCAGAATGGGGAGCTTGCCAAAATGCTGGAAGAAAAGGGAGTACTGGTGGCAGCCGACTAACCATGACCAAATTATCATCCATATTGTATGTACATTTGCCTTGCGCTCTGGCTTAGCATCCCAATTCAACCCTGCAGATTGTTCGCCCACCCGTCTCACCGAAAAGAATATCGGAACCCCAAACCTGATTTTCTATTGCTGCAACTTCACAATCTCTTCTGAAACCCTGAAGGGCTGTTCAGCGTGGGGAGGTACCTTCGATACATTCCCCCTGTGTTTCCAGATATGTGCATAACACCACAACAAACCAGCAATCTTTAAGTTGGGACTTCAAAGCTACGTCCAATATTCTTTTCATCTCTAATTGCTCATCGTCCGACTAGCGACATTGATCCACCATCCGGGATGACCCCTGGTGGATGCCACCCGCGGCTCACACCTTACTTGCCTCCCTCGACTTCGCTAAATCCTCAACGATGCCTTTCTCAACTTTGGCACGTTGTCTCGCTTCGTACGCCTCTCTGCTCTTCAAAATCCTGTCGACAATTTCCCCAGCATTGACATGCTGATAGGGATGGCTCGGAGATTCCTTGAATATACCCATCTTCTTCGGAGCGACATAAGGATCGTAGGTGAGGGGTATGAACGTGGTGGGGCCATGATAAACTGCATCTGGCGCACCTAGAGGCATTGCTTCCAAATACGACTGGCTCGGGGAAAAGGGAGCAGAGAAGACGACGGCATGGACGTACTAAAGGAGAATTAGCAAGATAGTTTCCGGATTTAGGGAGCCTTTGAAGTGGGTGGGCTTCAAACTCACTCGACACTGAAGGACACATAGCCCACGCTCGAAGATGTTCATGATGGGATAGTTAAGCCCTTTCCAATGATTTATGACATCATCATCATGAATGCCGGCAACAACAAATGCCGGCTCGTAATCTTCACCATATCTTTGAATTCTCTTTTCCCTTATCTCAGGATCATACCAATGCTGACGGTGGCCCTCGAGTCTTTCTAACTCAATGACCTGGCGCAAAAATTCAATATGACCGGAAGAAAACAGATCAAAGCCTCCGTCAACATACACAATACGTTGTCCTGGCTTGGGTAGCTTTCCTGTGACGATCTGCTCAAATGATCCCGACTCTTCACTCGTATTTCCAAGCTTCGCTGAGGTGGAACCATTCCAGATCCAGACACAGGGTCCTGGCTGTAGACCGCTCTCATCGGTTGCGTAGTCGCGAATTCTCTGCAGCAGATTCTCACCAGATTGTGCGCGTTCCTCCTCGCTACCGGAGCCTTCTTTCCCAGTAATTGTCTCCTTCACACTTCTAACGAAATGCCCTTTGGTACAGAGAAGCATGCGTCCTACTAGATCAGTTGTGGATATTCCCGGCGTTCGCTTGACCACTCGGAAACGGCCTGCAGCCTTCACGTAACGATAACAGTCATCGCCATTGCTGTCAGAGGTTATGTCATCGCCATGCACGACATACTTGCATCCATAATGTGACACCCAGGGGAGGAAAGTCACGTAGGGAGCCGAGGGCACGCAGCGAGTTACCCATCGGCATGCTTCCACTGCAGCTATTCTAGGCCATGGTCAGTCAAGTTCTACAATGAACTAATGCGTTAATCAACTTACCTCTCCTCCAATTTCATCACTGTCGGGCCTTTATTCTCTAAGATGGCCTCATCAGAGTGTACACCAACATAAAGTTCTCTGCCTAGCCTACGGGCCTGTAGCATGGCACCCGCATGTCCTACGAAACTCAGCTTTCGGGAACACGGTACCAAGGAGACGTTAGTCTCTCACCGTGGTGACTGAAGTCAAAACAACCATCCACCCATATACGGTCTTCTGAGATGGGTAGATCGTGCTGGGGATCAACCGGCCATTTTCCTTTTGGGGGAACTATATTATCAGACATTGGACTCGTGTTAAGGCGAATTCGTAAGTGTATTTTTGGAGACGCAGATGAGTAGAGAGATAGGATAGGGATTGATTAGGAATGAGTCAGAGATGGGTTAACAAGGCAGAGCTAGTAGTTAGACTTTCAAAGCTAGTGATATAAGATCGATCGCCACATCCAGTCAACATGTGATTCCTAGCAATGAAAAGGCAACAATAGTGAGGGACAGAATGTCGCTGTTCGGAGGGGTACCACGCGGAAGTGGTTATGTGGCGTACATGAGCAAATAGGTACCTTACATAATCCGGCACCTGATGGAGTATCTCTCATCAGCTATTATTTTTCGAATGACTTCGCAGACTTCGTAGAAATATCAGAGGCCATGCCTGTATACAGGCAATAAGATTATTTGCAAAGGTGATGTGAAGATGAGCTTACATTATAAAAATATAGTGCCGTCATTAGGTTTCGCCACAGGTCGGATTTGGGTCCAATATTAGAATCTGTATTTATAGATTAGGTCTGAATATTAGATCTAAAATCCGAATCTGCCAACCCGTAGATTAGATATATTAACCTACAGATTATCTACTAAGAATCTATTTAAATATAAAGTTTCTTTTTTAGTTATATTAAAATATATAAAATTTTTAAATAATCTAAACTTATTCTTATTTTCTTATTCTATATTAGTATTAAGATTTTATAATAGTAGTTTTTCTTTTTAAATTATTATATTTATATAAAATATGTCTGAAATCTGGTTTATATTAAAATTAACTATTAATTTTATTTATAAATAGAATTATTAAAAATATTAAAATTAAAATATTAATATTATTAATAAGATATTCTTTACACGCGGCTATAAATATATATTTTATAAAATAAATAATTTTATAAAATTATTAGATTATATAATTATCTTATTTTTATATTTTTAATTTACATTATTTAATTAATAGAATATATTTATGTTATATTTATAGATATTATTTAACTAATAAATCTTTTTAGATATTATAATATAAAATTACAATATTTGATTTATTTAACTTATTTAATTTATTTAATTTATTTAACTTATTTAATTTATTTAAGCTTTCTATTCTTTCTATTCTTTCTATTCTTTCTATTCTTTCTATTCTTTCTATTCTTTCTATTCTTTCTATTCTTTCTATTCTTTCTATTCTTTCTATTCTTTCTATTCTTTCTATTCTTTCTATTCTTTCTATTCTTTCTATTCTTTCTATTCTTTCTATTCTTTCTATT